CACGAACCCGTGTCCCCTGCGTCGGCAGGCGGACTCTCAACCACTGCGCCACTAGGGAAGCCCTAGGATAGGTTTTTTAATTCCTCATATAACTCTTTTTACTGTGCTCTAGCACAGCTGAAACTAGAATCCACCAAAGCTCTACTTCCACAGGTCCGTAAGAGTGTTCCTTCATCTGCCCAAAATATATTCTGTGCCTACTTCTTTTGACTGGTTAATTTTTTACTTTATTTTTTAGTTGATAAATCTCTCCAAGAAGCTTTTCTTTCCCCCTCAATCTGAATTATTCTCTGCTGTGAGCTCCTATACTTTGTCTTCCTGGGGCTTAAGCACAGTTTCTAACTATATTTCTGTGTCTGAAATTGTAAGCTCTGTGAAGGTAGAGGCTGAATGATTTCCTTTGCTTTGCAGCCCCCATCCTTAGTATCATGTTTGACATACAGTATTTGTTTAGTGTATATGCAGAGTTTTATTTTGAGGTTCACCTTTAATTTATTTCACTAAGATCCTTTGATCTCGTCTACTATTCTTTGAATAAGTCAAATGGCTTCAACTGTTTATATATTGGCTATTTTTCAAATCTGTTTATGTTTCCCATAGTTTGTGATTTCCATTTCCTTCTGGCAGTTTCACCTGAGTATCCCAGGGGCTTCAGACTCATCTTGTTTAAACAGGAACTCTCATCTGCACCCCAACATTTTAGTATTTTATTTCACTCCAGGAGTCAGTGGCTGAACCTCCCAAGTTATCCAAGCCATAAACTCACTTATGTGCTCAGGCCATTTATTGCCTTGTTGTCTTCATTCCTTCATCTTTTGAAAACACAGATTGATAACATTACTTTCACTTAAAAATATTAACTTCTCAGTTCAGACTAACATCCCTACAAGACTAACAGGAACCTACAAGGTTCTTCATTTTTTGATCCCACCTGCAGTTTCAACTCTGGACCCCTCTATTAACTCCAGACCTTCAGCTTTCCTTGTCCCACCTGCCAGGCTGGATACATGGCTCTCATGCACTTGTAGTCTCTGTACTGCCCTGAGTAACATTATCCCTGGAGTTTGGTTTTCCCAGATCCTTGAAGGCAGGGACGCTGCTTCCTTTCTAACCACAGTTCTTGGTTAAGAGCTCAAATTGGGGTTGGGGAGAGCTAACTGGTAGTTTTTAATCCCTTTTCTGTAAATTGGACTGATTTAAATTCTGGTCATAGAAGGGAGAGAATAGTTAATTTTTTTTTTTTTTTTTTGGCTGCATTGGGTCTTTGTTGCTGTGCGCGGCCTTTCTCTAGTTGCGGCGAGCGGGGGCTACTCTGTTGCAGTGCGCGGACTTCTTATTGCAGTGGCTTCTCTTGTTGTGGAGCGCGGGCTCTAGGTGCACAGGCTTCAGTAGTTGCGGCTCGCGGGCTCTAGAGCGCAGGCTCAGTTGTGGCGCATGGGCTTAGTTGCTCCATGGCATATGGGATCTTCCCAGACCGTGTCCCCTACATTGGCAGGCGGATTTTTAACCACTGTGCCACCAGGGAAGTCCCTAGTTAATATAATTTAATCTGCAATTATTTTGTGAAAAATACTTAATGGAAGTTCGAGGTATATTTAACATAAAAAACACAGCAGATAACTTTGGGTTACTACTCAAATACCTGTCTTTGTAGAGAATCAGATATCACCAAGGAGCGAATCCAGAAGATCCTGGCAACTGGTGCCAATGTTATTCTAACCACTGGTGGAATTGACGACATGTGTCTGAAGTATTTTGTGGAGACCGGTGCTATGGCAGTTCGAAGAGTTTTAAAAAGGGACCTTAAACGCGTTGCTAAAGCTTCCGGAGGTGAGTCTCCTGCCGGCTCTTGGATACTGTTACTACCTGGGACCGTGTCCCTTTACATTGGATGTTAACAATAAGCAGCTCCAGAAACAACAGTTTTTACTTTTTTACTCCCTTAATGCATTGTGCTACAAATATGTGTATAGAGGCGTGTTTTTATGTAACTGGGCAAGTTCTTTTACTTGCTCCACCTCAAAGTGACATGGTTCCATCTTAGGATAAAAGGACAGTTGCTTGCTTGATGCTTAACTGTAAACCTTAACCTTACCTTTATATGTCACCTCTGTCATAAATACATGTGTCTGAATCTAAGGCAGGATTTGAAAATATTCATGAAAGAACAGCGTTTACAGATCTTTGTAATTACTTTAATAGCAACTATTCTGTCGACCCTGGCCAATTTGGAAGGTGAAGAAACTTTTGAAGCTTCAATGTTGGGACAAGCAGAAGAGGTGGTACAGGAGAGAATTTGTGATGATGAACTGATCTTGATTAAAAAGTAAGAGCTACTTTCTAAATTATAAAGTTCTACAGATTTTATTTATTAATGAGTGAAAATAGGTCACCTTCCCATTTATTTGCTGCTATATAGTCTTGCAGTGATATAAGCAGTTATACGCATGGGATAAAATAATGTTGGGCCATTGTAAATTGAGGTGAAGTAACCATTTCATCTCTTCTCCATGGTCTAGACATTGCTTCCATGTCTAAATGTCCTGTGTGACTAGGATTTAATCAAGGCACTTAGATTGAATTTCTGCACGGATTTATTAAAGCATTGATTGAGAATTTCACTGTTTTTTAAATAGCACTAAGGCGCGTACCTCTGCGTCGGTCATCTTACGTGGCGCAAATGATTTCATGTGTGACGAGATGGAGCGCTCGTTACATGATGCGCTTTGTGTGGTGAAGAGAGTTTTGGAGTCGAAATCTGTGGTTCCTGGTGGCGGCGCCGTAGAAGCGGCCCTGTCCATATACCTCGAAAACTACGCGACCAGCATGGTAAGAACGTCTGGAAGCCCGTTTTTGTTTCTAGAAGGGCACGGCACTTTGTTCACATGAATACGTCTCTTCTGCGACCTTAGCTGCCGCTGTGGGTTTTAATTTTCTTCCTTTTGTGAAGACACCTCATTGTCTTTCTTCTTAGGGCTCCCGGGAACAGCTTGCTATTGCCGAGTTTGCAAGATCTCTTCTTGTTATTCCCAATACTCTGGCAGTTAATGCTGCCCAAGACTCCATAGATCTGGTTGCAAAATTAAGAGCTTTTCATAATGAGGCTCAAGTTAACCCAGAACGCAAAAATCTAAAATGGTAAGCATACTTAACATTTTTCATTGTCATCTGTATATCATATATGGTAGTTTGGTTTTTGTTTTAAACTCACAAAGGATGATGACTAGTGATTATTAGCATTGGTGTGTCTTAGTTATCAAATCGGATTCCCCACCTTTCCCTGCTGCTCTGGGTAGAGTCATTTACCTACAGTAGGAAGGTTCCAGAGAGGAAATTATTTTTGGGTGGTCCACACCTGTTTTTAAGCAACCTCCTCTTAAGATATTAAATGATGTTTAGAAACAATTTCTTTACTACCATCTAGGCTTTCTACACCTCTTTCAGTGCTGAATTTGTTTATTTATAATCAATTACTTTAGACTTACAGGGATCTACTGTAAGGTCCCAACGTTTCTCAAGGTTTACATTTGAATGGAATAGCTGGCACTAATGAGATTACCACCTAGTCAACTTTTTAAATATTTATTTGGTCGTGCCGGGCCTTAGTTGCAACGTATGGGATCTTCAGTTGCAGCAGGCGGGCTCTTAGTTGTGGCTTGTGGCATCTAGTTCCCTGGCCAGGGATTGAACCCAGGCCCTCTGCATTGGGAATGTGGAGTCTTAACCACTGGACCACCAGGGAAGTCCCCCTAGTCAACTTTTAAAGGGGTGGAATAGGATGGGTGTGAACTATGAAAGGGGTCGTTTAATAGGTTTTTTTCTAAATTGCAGGATTGGTCTTGACTTGGTCAATGGTAAACCCCGAGACAACAAACAAGCAGGGGTGTTTGAACCAACCATAGTTAAAGTTAAAAGTTTGAAATTTGCAACTGAAGCTGCAATTACCATCCTTCGAATTGATGATCTTATTAAATTACACCCAGAAAGCAAAGATGATAAGCATGGAAGTTACGAAGATGCTGTTCACTCTGGAGCCCTTGATGACTGATGTCTTTTATTTATGACAATGTTAGATGCATTTATCTTGTACCTCGAGTATTACACATTAAAGTGCAAAAAGCTGTCAAGTCTTAGGATTCTTATGAAGTGGGAGATAGTTTCCATCCTCACTTTGGTCCTCTGATTTCACTAACTTAGTATTTTATTAGTTTAAAAAGAAACGAGGTTCAAGTTCAGTTTAAGCATAATTAATTGTTAAGCAGTTTCATCCTCTCAGAACACACATTGCTATTCCCATCCCACCCCCAATGCATAGGGCAGCAACCCCACGATGTCCACCCTTGCGCTCCATCGTGTGTAACAGGGTAACAAGAATCCGGCAGCCAGATGCTCCAAGAGGATGGCCCAGGGCTATAGCTCCTCCTTCAGTGTTGACCTAAGGGGTAAATAAGATTTGTATCATTTATTTTTCTCTGGACATAAAGTTAGAATCCCAAACTTGTCTTTTTCCTCTTAATGTCATGCCGGTTAACTACCCTTTCAAATTCAGTTTTTAGTTCAAGTTGCTTAGGAAGTGATTTGTACCCTTGTGACATCCATTCTGACTACCTTAGTTTTAGACTTAAAATACCCTCTTCCTGTGGGAAGTGAACTAAATGCACACAAGTTTTTTTGCCTTAGGAAGCAATAAAATAAGTGAACTCTCGAGTCCCAACAGGAACTTACCTAGCATCCACCCATTACTGTATGGCCAGTACCTGGGACACATCCTGTGTTTTGCTGTTTACAATGTTAAGAAGATTGCATTGTGAACGTTCATTTGCAAGCTCTCTTCAGGACTACTTGCTCATGTTTACCTTCTCTGGGTTTAATCCAAGTTCTTTAGCTATTGCAACAGAGACGGCTGCAAAGGCTTCATTGATTTCAAATATGTCAACATCCTCCAGCGACCAACCTGCTTTTGCAACCTAAAGGAGAGGTTAATGGAAGAGAGATCTAAAAACTCAAGTGGAACCATCCTTCGCTGTAGGTGCAGAAGCAGAATATACTGTATGATATTGAAGGATCTCTTGAAAATGCCACTTTGAGTTCCAAGTGGTAACACATCTTGCCTTGGTGACACCAATTCTAAAAGGTTTAAGGATAAAACACCCCTTGGAAATTCTATACTCTCTTCAAATTTGAACCACTTAACACCTGTTACGTGTACGTGAGGTTATGGAGCAGAAGTAGTTGCCCTGTAAAGCAGATGATGCACTGCTGGCTGCTCTGTGGAAGGGAAAGAATACTGTAGCTATAATGAAATGAATACGCTCATTTAAGGCTAATGGGAGGATGTCTCCTTTTGAGACAATGCAAATGAAGCCTGATAGGAATACATATGAAAATAAAATCAAGCTCAGTCTCGGCATTTTGGAGTGGGAAGGATCTGAGCGAAGGTTTGAAGGAGGTGGAAGGTAATAAGCATTTACAGATTATTCGTGTGTCCCAAAGAGGCTTTAGCAACAACAAGGACAGGTGCTAACATTGGAAATTAAACTCACAGCTTGCTTTATTGCTGGAATTGGTCCTATTCCCATAATGGAAGGCTCCACACCTGCTTGTGACCAGGAAACTATCTGTGCTAGGGGCGTAAGCCCACGGTTATCAGCTTCTGACTTCTTCATGAGAACCACAGCTGCAGCACCATCATTTATTCCTGTAAAATATGAATGTCTTAATTTCCAAAACAGTGCTAAGTTACATACCTGTGTCTACTTTCTCCAACACCTGAAGACATGGCTTAAGTTAATACCTCTTGACAGGATGATAGATGACAGAACATTGCAATGGGATAAAGAGCGGAAAGATTAAAGCAGTGGGGGAGGGGAGATTAATGAAAAGAAATGGAAGAAACAGCCCAGACCTCATAGGAGGTAATGGGAGTTTCGGGTTTTGGAAAAGGTCAGAGGTGGTAGACAAAATCTGGAGTTCCCTAATTTGCTTTTTCACTTGTGTGTCTCGTTAGGATACTGCAAGGAAACCAGATCCATTTTTCAGTGTGTTGTACAGGTTAAGCCACAAATCTAAATATGAAGAAACAAATGGTCAAAACTACATTTTCTCCTAAAGCAACTGAAACGAGGTTTTAGAATAATTTGTGTATAAATAATTGATGAAATGAAATTAGAAAGGTATTATCTTAGTAGACCCAGCAGAAGATAATACTCCCACAGCTGCCCTTCAGAAAATCTAACCTGAGGCATTAGCTGGGGTGACGGTTCCTGTTCCGTCTGTAAGGAAGCAAGGCTTTAGCTTAGACATGGCTTCCATGTTGCTCCCGTGGCGCGGAAACTCATCTGTTTTAACTTCAGTAAGACCTGAGAAAAGGGAAAATCGTTACCCAAGATTAGTACAGTTCCTCAGACGTGATATAGAAGGACTCACATTTGGAAGAAAAGGTTTATTATAAAATACTGTTATTCCAATAGCAAAGTACACACTAGTACAAATTACTGTAAAGACATCGTATCAGCATTGTCTTCATGAGTGTTTTCCATATCCAGACAGCCCTTTCTGAGGAAGGCAGTTACAGGGACTTCTTTGTTTAAAAGGTTGCTAAGATTTGGGGTATATAGGTCTTGGCTGGTTACGACTGACTGGATCTAGGGTGTCAAAGCCAATCTCATAAAGGCTGGGCATAATCGATGTCAGTCATCAGTAACAGAACTTGATTAGAGCGTTCCATATTAGAGAATAGCTAAGTGACCCCAAAAGATCCACCCTCAAATATGAACCGCACACAGAAGCAACAGGAAGTAATGGACATTTGCTTCGGAGGAGATTGAGCCTGTAGGCGTAGAAAGGTCGGCTGCTTTCTCCAGTTTCTCCTAAAACGCTCCATCTACACAGCCATGTGGAGACCCTGGGCGAAAAGTGGATGCTGACACAGCCTCCCATGTCTCCTTCCCCACCTCACATTCAGATCTATCCTGAATATTTGCAACCTGAAAGACGTAACTGAGACACGATGTATAAACATTCCTATATGTTACTTTTGAATATTAATAACTTATTTATAAATAGCCCCGTTGATGTTTAAACCATTATGACTGGGCTTCCCTGGTGGCACAGTGGTTAAGAATCCCCCTGCCAATGCAGGAGACACGGGTTCGAGTCCTGGTCCAGGAAGATCCCACATGCCACGGAGCAACTAAACCCGTGCGCCACAACTACCGAGCCTGTGCTCTAGAGCCTGTGAGCGATGACTACTGAGCCTGCGAGCCACAACTACCGAAGCCCACGTGCCTAGAGCCCGTGCTCTGCAACGAGAGAAGCCACCACAATGAGAAGCCTGCACACCGCAACGAAGAGTAGCCCCCGTTCGCCGCAACTAGAGAAAGCCTGTGCGCAGCAACGAAGACCCAACGTAGCCAAAAATATAAGTAAATAAATTTATACATATAAAAACACCTTTATGACTTATACACCCACCTTTTTTAGAAGATACAAAAACCGGTACAATCTCTTTGTCAAAATGGCCAGCTTTCTGTGCGCTCTCTGTCCTGTTCTGGGACACAACTGCAAGCTTGTCCTGATCTTCTCTACTCACTTGCCATTTGTTGGCTACATTTTCAGCTGTGAAAGAAAAAAAATAAAGCAAAAACCAAACATTTTCAGGAACTGGCTTTTGGTAGCTCAAGTTTTTCACCTTTAAACAAGCACTGAGGCCCAACAATGGCAGGCTCGCTGGTGGACTGAGACAGTGCTCTGCGGCAATCTTGCCTCCCACTGAATGTGGAAAGGTTGCAGTGATTCTTAAGAAGCCATTTCCTTTCTTTGCTTCCTTCCTTCTCTTTTCCTTTCTATAAAATAACTTTCGGAAATTTCGTTTATGTGGCTTCACCAGTTCATATTTTTTGGCCCATATGCTTTATCATTCTCTCTGAACCATTTGATGGAAAGTTGTAGACACCATGCCCCTATATCTCTAAATTTTAATTTCACTGTATATTTTCCCCCCACAAAGGCCATTTTCTTCCACAACCACAGCTACCAAAATCAGGAAATTTAACATTGATAAAATACTATTATCTAATTCTTGGTCCATATTCAAGTTTCACCTGTTGACCCAATGATGCCCTTTAGAGCTAATTTATTTGTTCAGTCCGGTAACATCCAATCCAGGATTACGCACTGCATTTCACTGTCAATCTCTTTAGTTTCTTTTTATTTGGAACACCTCCTTAGACTATCTTTGTGTTTCTTTCTTTTTTTTTTTTTTTAAAGTTTATGATGTGCTATGTGAGGCTCAGTAGTTCTAGGAAACCATGTTTTTATTTTATTTTTATTATTATTTTTTTGGCCACGCAGCATGTGGGAATCTTAGTTCCCCCACCAGGGATGGAACCCGCACCCCGCACTGGAAGCGAGGAGTCCCAACCACTGGACCACCAGGGAAAGTCCCTGTCTCTGTGTTTCTTAACCTTGACATTTCTTAAGGGCAGGGGCCAGTTCTTTTGTCAGATGTCACCAATTTGGGTCTGTCTGACTCATGTTTCCTCAAGATTAGATTATGTATGAAAGCACTGAATGATGATTATATACTATCTTCTCACTGAATCATTATTTATTTATTTATTTATGGCTGTGTTGGGTCTTCGTTGCTGTGCGCGGGGGCTACTCTTCATTGGGATGCGCGGGCTTCTCACTGTGGTGGCCTCTCTTTGTTGCAGAGCACAGGCTCTAGGCACACGGGCTTCAGTAGTTGTGGCACGAGGGCTCAGTAGTTGTGGCTCACGGGCTCTAGAGCACAAGCTCAGTAGTTGTGGCGCACGGGCTTAGTTGCCCCATGGCATGTGGGATCTTCCCGGACCAGGGCTCGAACTCATGTCCCCTGCATCGGCAGGGGATTCTTAACCACTGCACCACCAGGGAAGTCCCTCACTGAAGCTTATCAGGATACAAGTGGGATTTTATCTCAGGTGATGTTAGCTTTGCTCACTTAATTAGTATCCACCATATTTCTACACTGTGTAGTGTATTATGTGTGCAATAGCACTATATCTTAAAAAACAATGTACATACCTTAACTAAAACCTTAACTAAAAAATACCTTATTGGGGCTTCCCTGGTGGCGCAGTGGTTGAGAGTCCGCCTGCTGATGCAGGGGACACGGGTTCGTGCCCCGGTCTGGGAAGATCCCACATGCCGCGGAGTGGCTGGGCCCGTGAGCCATGGCTGCTGGGCCTGCGCGTCCAGAGCCTGTGCTCCGCAACGGGAGAGGCCACAACAGTGAGAGGCCTGCGTACCGCAAAAAAAAAAAAAAAAAACCTTATTGCTAAAAAGTGCTAACCATCATCTGAGCCTTCAGCAAGTTCTAGCAGTAACATCAAAGATCAAAGATCTTTCTGTTTCCTGCTTTGTCAAAATTGTTTTGGCTATTCTAGGTCCAGATTTTTCATATCACCATGACAAATATAAAAATGAAAAAGTTGAAATATTGCAAAAATTACCAAAATGTGACCCAGAGACCTGAAGTGAGCAAATCCTGTTGGAAAAATGGCACTGACAGACTTGCTTGACACAGAGTGGCCACAAACGTTCAATTTGTAAAAAACAC